TAAATTTGTCTAGAAAAGCCACACAACAACCAGGGGCTGTTGGGGTTGGTTCTGCAATGTCCTGTAAAGGATTCACAACTAACCTATATATATATATATATATATATATATATATATATATATATATATATATATATATATATATATATATATATATATATATACATATACATACATACATACACACACACACACACTGTTTAAAAGAAAAAAAAACTAGAAATGCATTGTTTTAAAATGGTCCTTCACTACTTAAAAAAAAAAAAAACATAGCTACTGAAAGCAACATAATGTAAAAACTATGCATCCCCCCCCCCCTTTTTTTTTTTTTAAATATTAAATAGTAAAGTGTCATTAGCTAACTTTTTATTTTTCAAAACTATATATATGTATTGTTTTGCTGAAACTCGTATAGATGTGTGTATGTCGTAGACTAGTAGATTAGGATTACACTTAAAATAGCAATAGCTGTAGTAATCTGCTGGACTAGTGATCATCAGTATGTGCTGTGCTGATTAGCTTAATCTGTCATTGTTTCACTATCTCTCCGCCCTGCTTCCCCTCAGCTATATGACTAAACTGTGCAGGTATTTATCTCCACGTTCTCCTCTTATATTGTTTTTTTATTCAATCTTGTCAGTCATTACCAATTTCTGAGGTCCATTTCACAATATATCCATCCAAAACACAGTGAATGTCCTGATCTGATCTTTGTAATCAGTTCACACTTTTTAATCTGTCCCAACCTTTGCTGTCGGTTTTTTTTTTTTTAAAAGGTGACACTTTAATGTCACTGGAATGTATGCTTATATATATGTGTATGTATGTGCATACACACACATGCACGCACGCACACACACACACACACACACACACAGTGTGTTTATTGTACATCATTGATATTTGTGTTGGTTATCAGTCAAAGATCTGACATCACTGCCACTGGGTTGCCCCATAACTGGGTCCGTTCCTGTGCGGGTGACAAATCACACAAAATGTTCTTCTTGTCCCATTTAAAAAACTAGGGGAAAAAACTTATCAGTTGCAGCAAAATCTTGAAGTTTGCACATGCAAAGTAACAGTGCAGCTGTCATATGTGCCAACGCTAACAGTCCAACGCTAGAACTGCAGCTCACTGCAGCACAGTGAAAGGAAAGGAAAGCCGGCATTTCAGCTGCAGAAGTACTTGCAACTCTGAACATAACTGGTCACCCGCCATTTCGATGCAGTCAACAACACACCACAGGCACAAAAGAAAATAACCATTCCACATGAGAACACAGTGTTGCACCAAGCACCCACTCAGCTCAGAAGCTGGGTGAGGGTACCATTGCACTCTGATCAGAAATGGGAAATAAACATTAGCTCATTAGAAGTTTGCTAAAATCAAATATGCTGGGCTAGGAAGTGCAGATTTTGCAGCCTTGCTGTAAACCACAACATAATTGAACCACCTTTTCAATGATGAACATAGAAGTTGGTAAAACACAGTGTCTTTAGTTTTTTTTTTTTTCTTTCTTTCTGATTTCTGATCAACACAGTTGGCAGTCATTTCGTAGACACAAGTCCTGGTGTTTTGAATAAATTCACTGTTGCCTGTACCCATCCTGTGCCATTCTTGAATGTTTACAGCTTTTTATTATGTGTTGCCCTAGGATGCAGCATAGTACACGTATTAGTTGTTGCTATACTCAGGTGTGTTGTCTGATGTGGAAACACACAACATTGCTTGTTATCCATGTTACCATAGTGACGTATGTGTACTATGTCATGCATGTTTGTTACTGTGATGAGGCAGCTGTCAGCACTTTAAAAAAAAAAATGTCTTTCTGTCCCAACCATCCTGTAATGTTGGCAAATATTCCAACATTCATGAGTCTATGTTTGACAGTGGTAGTATAAAGTTGGCTAGAAATAGTTCTTGTTAGATTTGCCTTGACAGACAAATGTATCCTTCTATGTTCCACACATGATGATTGTGGGTCTAGTATATGAATGGTTATACCACATGTGGGGTTTATATTTTAGATTAGTTACCTTGATGTGAAAACAATTACCTTTGTGCAATGTATCTACTAACAATTTCAAAATTATATTTCTAAGTGTCTAGACATCTATGGAGCCCCAGTGGCAATTACTATCTTGTCTGCTGTGTGCTCCTAGGTTTCAACCTCCTAGATTTTTAACAGACTTGACAAAGGCTCCAAATTCCCTTTGTCTCTTCTTTTCTGTCTCTAGTTTATCAGGGTTAACTTTCAATCGTTAAATCATTTTTTTTTTTTTTTTTTTTTTTTAGAAATGGGAAGTTTTTAAAATAAAATTCCTTTTGAAGGAATCATGTAGATCAAGAGGAGTAGATAAGCACTGAAACCACACTACTAAATGAACACACTAACATGCGTCACATTATGGCTGTGAAGTGTTGTATTTGTCTAGCTATTGCACGTTTGCTGTTTCAATATTCCAGTTTGTCAAGTTCTACCAGTTAGTAATTCCACATTGTGTGCCTCAGACTTTGTGACATTGGTGTGTGCGCGCGAAGTGCCAGCTGTTGTAGATGTCTTGGGAGGTGGAGGAGGAGGAGGGTCAGTGTTTACCATGAGCAGTGTCAGGGTGTAGTCATTATTAACCCTGTTTCCTATAATCATGGGTATTCAATGACATAAAGCCTTTGGGCAGTTGCTGCTGCGCCTGTAGAACAGCTTTGCTCCTGATTGCCACTGCTTAGGTTGACATGGTGGGTATGATTATGGCAACACAAAATGTTACAAATAAAAAGATGTTTGGGTTAAGAAGATAATATTTCCAAAAATGTGATGCGAATACATCATCATCATCTCATTATGGCATCACTTTGCTCCATATGCCGTGGGAAGAAAACCAAAATTTATTATGGTCAACGTGAAGAAAAGAAGTTAAGTCTTTGATGTGTTCAAATTTACTGAATAATTCCTTATAAAAGTGTTATAAAAAATGTATATGATGAATATTTTAGTAATTTGATTACTAATATATCAGGAGGAGAGTTGGCACAGAACCAATACTGAATTTTATAGCTAGACAGCAGGTCAAATGGTTTGGCCATGTAACCAGACTGGCATCAGACAGGGCACCACTGAGAGCAAAGTTATGCAGATACAGGGGTAACAGAGCCAGAGGTCGAACACGCAAAACATGGATCACACAAATATCATAGACACTTCAAAGTATTGTATACAAATTGAACAGAAGGGCCCATTCCAGAGATCTATTTTTACCCTGACACTGTGAGGCCTTCCAGGAGTAGAGATAAGATAATATTGCAGTGGCCATCATGCTTACTTGTCTGCTGTGTGGTCATAGGTTTCATTTCCTTGTATTTTTATAAAAACTGACTTCAGATTCAGCATTTCTTCTTTCCTTCTAGTATCTTAGGGTATAGTTTCAGAGAATTAATTTTTGATGTGATTCTGAAGAAAATGAGGTATAGTTTCAGAAAATTTATTTTTGATGTGACTGAAGAAAATGAGGTATCGTTTCAGAAAATTTATTTTTGATGTGACTGAAGAAAATGAGGTATTGTTTCAGAAAATTTATTTTTGATGTGACTCTGAAGAAAATGAGGTATAGTTTCAGAAAATTTATTTTTGATGTGACTGAAGAAAATGAGGTATCGTTTCAGAAAATTTATTTTTGATGTGATGCTGAAGAAAATAAGGTAATTTTTTAAGATACTTACTGGGCAAAAGGATTAAACATAGTTTAAGCATACATCATGAGTATTTATTTGATTATTGGTGGTAGCTGAGTTGGTTAAAATGAACATTACTAGGCAGAGTTACTGGTAAAGTGCTGGCCTCCAGTTTACATGGGGATGGTTCAATTCATGCTGAGAATGGTTGAAGTTTGTACATAATAAACATCAGTTGGCGTCTACTTTCTCGGACTCTGATGTAATGTCTAACATTGTTAGGGAAGAAGCTGTGCTTATTCTTAATGGTAGCAACCTTTCTCCATTTGGAAATAGAAAATAGCTTCCAGAACAGGATGCTACCCAAGACCCATTTCAAAAGTTAGAAAACAACTTCCATCCCTATCCCGCACAAAAGGTAGAATATTTGTAGCAAATCCTTGGGTGTCCATGGAGCCTAGAGCACCTGGTCAGTGTTGATGAATGATTCATGAAAGTGATCAGTTAGGAACCACAGGAATATGTTTACTGAAATTTAAGTTTGAAATTTAATTTTTGTTCCTTCTGCTCCTACACCATATATTTTTATGAAGCATAACAAATCTATCAACACTAATGTGGATGTGGTACCGTTTAGTGCAGTCTCGTAGCAGGAAGAGCCATAGTGTGCAGTATGTAGTGGTTCCTCAGCTGTAGTGGTAAATTACTGGAGCAAGGAATGACTGTGCCTATTTCTAATTTATGATTTCCACCAGTCTTTAGGTACAAATCTGAACGAACAAACATTATTTACAAATAATATCAATTTATAGCCATTTTTTTGTGTAAATTATGTTTTATTGCTTGTAAATGAATCCTGTTTTAAAACAGATGTAGATTAGACTGAATTGTGTGTTCTTATTTTCCATCTTTAATTTGATCTATTTGTTGGCCAACCGCTATTTTTATTGATAAGTTAATGAATCTCTGATTCTTCTCCTTGGCTCGTTAGCATTTACTGGCTGTAAACTCTGGCGGAAAGTTCAGGTTCTTCGTCCACTTCTAAACTTTTCTCTTGTCCTAGAACTTGAGTTTTAGGTGCACATCCATTTTACAGATCTGGATTATTTGTATGCAGACTTTGAGTTCCTTGCCTGTCAGGCAGGTGAACTCTGAAGGAAATCCTCAATTAGTCAACTCTTGCAACATGCATTATTTGTATTCCCATAATGGGAGCTGGGAACCCCCGATGGGGCTAGGGCCTCATTCATTACCTTCACTGACTGGTTAACTGTTTACTGCTAGTGATTAGTCAGTATGTTAATTAGTGGATTTCATGTTTTATCCATAGCGGATCCAAATCCAGCAGTGTGGGAGGATGTTACAGATACCAAACCAATGACTCTAGTTGATGATTGTGTTTCATTCACCACCACAGTGTCTGCAAGGTAATAGCCAGCAGATGTGAACTCCAGTGCACCACTTAATATCTACCTACATGTAATGTTGTCTTCCTTTTACTCACTTCCCTCCACTTGTATCTTTAAAGCACATTATTTAACACGGGGCTGTCTGTGTCTCTTTACTTAGCCAAGGTACCTTATTTGTCTGTCGTTGCTCTTCACTGTTTCTTTAGTCCTACTGTTTGCAAAACTTCTGTTTTCTTCTTTTGCAATGATACTCTCCCTGTGTGTTTATGTGACCACATCCCAAAATCTTCAATTCTACTTTCATATTATTTAATCAGTGCCAGTGTAGTTCACTGAAGAGAGATGAATTGAGAACCACCAAGCACTAAAATATGAAATAGTTAAAAATTACTTAGCAGTTAAAAATAAGAAAAAGTGATCAAATGTATCTTCACTGGCACAAGACATGAGATTCTTCTAGTGTAACCAGTGTGAGGAAAATAGAGTGATCAAATAGTGATCTTTTCTGGCACCAGACATGAGATTCTTCTAGTGTAACCAGTGTGAGGAAAATAGAGTGATCAAATGTATCTTTTCTGGCACCAGACATGAGATTCTTCTAGTGTAACCAGTGTGAGGACAATAGAGTGATCAAATGGATCTTTTCTGGCACAAGATATGAGATTCTTCTAGTGTAACCAGTGTGAGTGATCAAATGAGTCAACAAGACATGAGATACAATAGAGTGATCAAATGTATCTTCACTGGCACATCAAATGTTATCTTCACTGGAGACATTCTTCTTAGTGTAACCAGTGTGAGGAAAATAGAGTGATCAAATGTATCTTTTCTGGCACAAGACATGAGATTCTTCTAGTGTAACCAGTGTGAGGACAATAGAGTGATCAAATAGTGATCTTTTCTGGCACAAGACATGAGATTCTTCTAGTGTAACCAGTGTGAGGACAGTAGAGTGATCAAATGGATCTTTTCTGGCACAAGACATGAGATTCTTCTAGTGTAACCAGTGTGAGGGCAATAGAGTGATCAAATGGATCTTTACTGGCACAAATTATGATAGCTCTTATTTTTCAGATAGAGCTTTTTTTTAGGGAAAAAAGTATTCAGCCTTTCAAGTTCACTTCATCGAATGACCTTGTTTCTCAACTCTGACCAGGTTCTGGCTGATCGACTGTCAGAATGTTGCCGAGGCTGCCCAGATGGCCTCCATTCTGTACCAGGAAGCAGTTACGGTTCCCTACATGGCCAGATTTGTGGTTTTTGCCAAGCGGGATTCCTCTGAGGAGGGTAAGCTGAGAATTTTCTGCATGACGGACGACAAGGATGACAAGACCTTGGAGAAGCAGGAGAACTTTCTTGAAGTGGCTAGAAGCAGAGACATCGAGGTAAGAATCTTTAGAGGTTGTTTTTTTTTTTTTCGGTTGTGAGCAGATGCATCTTTAGCTTAATGTGAGCAGAGGCATCTTTAGCTTAATGTGAGCAGAGGCATCTTTAGCTTAATGTGAACAGAGGCATCTTTAGCTTAATGTGAACAGAGGCATCTTTAGCTTAATGTGAACAGAGTCATCTTTAGCTTAATGTAAACAGAGGCATCTCTAGCTTAATGTAAACAGAGGCATCTCTAGCTTAATGTAAACAGAGGCATCTCTAGCTTAATGTGAACAGAGGCATTTCTAGCTTAATGTGAGCAAAGGCATCTTTAGCTCAGTGTGAACAGAGGCATCTTCAGCCAGTGTGAACAGAGGCATCTTCAGCTTAATGCGAGCAAAGGCATCTATAGCTTAATGTGAACAGAGGCGTCTCTAGCCTAATGTGAACAGAGGCATCTTTAGCTCAGTGTGAACAGAGGCATCTTTAGCTCAGTGTGAACAGAGGCATCTTTAGCTCAGCGTGAACAGAGGCATCTTTAGCTCAGCGTGAACAGAGGCGTCTCTAGCCTAATGTGAACAGAGGCATCTTTAGCTCAGTGTGAACAGAGGCATCTTCAGCTTAATGCGAGCAAAGGCATCTTTACCTTTATTTGAACTGAGGCATCTTTAGCTGAATGTGAACAGAGGCATCTTTAGTTTAATGACAGCAGAGGCATCTTTAGTTTAATGAGAGCAGAAGCATCTTTAGTTTAATGACAGCAGAGGCATCTTTAGTTTAATGACAGCAGAGGCATCTTTAGTTTAATGAGAGCAGAAGCATCTTTAGTTTAATGACAGCAGAGGCATCTTTAGTTTAATGAGAGCAGAAGCATCTTTAGCTTAATGTAAGCAGAGGCATAGAAAATATCTTTGGCTTCTTCTTCTTCTTCTGTGGTCGACTCACTAATACCATGTTCTAGCCCAGTGACATGTTTTTCAGTATTTGTCTTGAGTTTTTTGGATGGCTTTGCTTGGATGGTGGATTTGTTATTTTGTGTGTGCAGGTTTCAGCTACACCATTTATCCATCTCTTTCTTTGTCTTCTCCCCTTCCTGCCAGATGTTTTGCTGTAAAGCAGTCTCACATACAGTTTGGACTGGCTGCATTCTCACATTTCTCTGGCCGAACCATTTCATTCTTTGTCTTCTCCCCTTCCTGCCAGATGTTTTGCTGTAAAGCAGTCTCACATGCAGTTTGGACTGGCTGCATTCTCACATTTCTCTCGCCGAGCCATTTCATTCTTTCTCTTCTCCCCTTCCTTATAGATGTTTTGCTGTAAAGCAGTCTCACATGCAGTTTGGACTGGCTGCTTTCTCACATTCTCTCACCGAACCATTTCATTCTTAGTCTGCCAGTGTAATCCAGGCACAGTCATATTCCAGCTTTCTCTCTTATGCTGGTGTTCATAACTCTGTCCCTTCTTGTGTTGTTTGTGACCTAATGGAGACAACACATTTCACATGTAATGGTCTGTATTCTTTGGCTTAAAGTCAGCAGATTTAATGTTTCAGTTAAATGTAATGAAGTTTTTTTTTTTACAGTTCACAAATTCTGTATTGTTGCCATATGTAAATTTGAGATAACCAGATAAGAATATTTATGTTTTCTGTTCTCTTGCAGTTTGTAGCTGAATTGTATATGTACCTTATAACTGTGATATTTGACATGTTAGGTCCTCGAGGGCAGACCTCAGTTTGTGGAGATGGCTGGAAATCTGATCCCAGTTACCAAGTCCGGGGACCAGCTTCATGTGAACTTCAAGGCATTCAGAGAAAACCGTCTGTCATGTACTGTCAAAGTCAGGGATCAGGTAGGTTCTTTCTTCACATCAGTCATAACTGGGCAGGTGTTAAACTGTGCCCATGTACATACAAAAATATAAAAACACATAGACTTTAGTTGGTTAAGTACATTGAATTAAAAGTAATGTAAAGGAGCCTTTTCCCTGCCGTCAGGAATATATATTTTAAAGACCAGTGGAAACTTGATGGGTGTTGTCAGCATCACACCAGGCCCCCCTTGACTTCTCAGGACTTTACCTTGTATCCACTCAAGGGAAGGGTCAACTTGTTCTTAAATAAAAATTTAAAAAATCAAGCCCCATTTGGATCTGCAGGCAGGCATTCAAACATGGATTGTTTAAACAAGTCATATATATGAGGAAAGCAGAATCACAGAAAAGGCCAATGAAGAAATACATTAATGTTGTGAAAATGTGTGTGTAGTGTGTGTGGGAGAGAGGCAGAGAGAACAATTGAACAAACTTTTTGTTTCCTTCCAGAGGGTTAAGATTTTTAGCACTTGGCCTGGGTAGCATTCTGCCCATCTAACTTTCATGCATTACTTCATGAAGAGATAGAAAGAGAAGGGGGAGGGGAGAATGATAAATAAAGCAGTGTCACTTTAAAATGGGAAAATTGCACACCTTTTTAAGCAGTTACCGAGACAATAAAGGGTTAATAGAGACTGTAAAATAAACATACCAAAGGCAACAAGTATGCTTTAATAGCACTAATATATCTGTAAGTTAAAAAAAAAAAGTATTAACCAAACTTAAGAATGTAAAAGTTGGAATCAGATGTTTAGTAGCACATAATACAAGTGCTGGAATCAAATTATTAACACACTTGAGGGTTTAAAACACCAGTTTTGAGTGCTAATTTAAGGGTAGGAATTGAATGTTTTGATTGACACGCAATGATTGGAATCAGATGTGTTAACTCTTTGAGTCCCGGGGGTTTAGCATCACAGGCCCAAGGGGTAGTCAAGAGAGACGTAAAATCAGCGCATCTTGCATTCATTGTGCTTCTAGATAGGAATCTATGAACGTATGATGAGTTCCTTGGGACTCAAAGAGTTAAGGGACACCTACAAGGTTTTTAGTCAGATATATTGAATGATAAATACACACAAGATCAGCACTAGGAATAATTACCATATTTAAAATTGTAAAAAGTTACAAATGTTAGTTCATTGTTCATTTCCAGATCATTCTCGTTGCACGTTGGGCATACCCATAAGTGCTCAGATCGTCTCCTATGTTTCTTAGTGTGTGTTTTTGCTGATGACTTCTGATCTGTGTTGGTTGATGTAGGGACTGTAAGGTTTTGCATGGTTTTTACCTCGTGCTACTCCAGCTTGTATAGATAAACCTCGCAATCGAGTTAGAGAGAAATTATTATCTTCACTTTTGAAAACCTTCAGCATGTGCTGCCTTGTGTATAGCATTGATTTTATCCATTTTGTCCATAGAAGCTCCATTTCGTAGGGTGGCTTTGCCTCTAATTGCCTTTCTGACCTGCATGTCCTGGGACAAATAAGAATGTAACAAAGTGGAGCTCTGCTATTTTTTAAAAGAATGATAACACTCTCTTCACATTGATCCGGCTTTGATCTTTTTTTTTAATCATATTCATAGAATCACTCAGAAAACCTGCATTTTTCAACTCCTGTGTCTGTAGCCATTCTGCAGCCATGTTTTCCTGTGTCTGTAGCCATTCTGCGGCCATGTTTTCCTGTGTCTGTAGCCATTCTGCGGTTATGTTTTCCTGTGTCTGTAGACATTCTGCGACTGTGTTTTCCTGTGTCTGTAGCCATTCTGCTACCACGTTTTCCTGTGTCTGTAGCCATTCTGCGGTCATGTTTTCCTGTATCTGTAGCCATTCTGCGACCATGTTTTACTGTGTCTGTAGCCATTCTGTGACCATGTTTTCCTGTGTCTGTAGCCATTCTGCGGCCATGTTTTCCTGTGTTTGTAGCCATTCTGCGGCCATGTTTTCCATTGTCAGGCTGGTGGTGGTGGCAGCTAAAGCTCCGCTGGCTTCTGTAATTATGTTTTCCCTTTTTCCTGCTGTGAATGCCCAAGCACTTCATTTGTGATGAATTACTTAACAACCTGTGTATATAACAGCCTCATCTTTGGATGTGTTTTCATATATTAGTGCTTTGACCTCTGAATCAACTATTGCAGAAGGTAAGTCACAACATTTAGTTGCAAATCCTTTGCTGGATTTTGCAGAAGCAGTGGCAGCATTTTTTGGATGTTTGGTTTTATGAGGCATGTTTACGTTCAGTAGTTTGTTGTTACTTTCTAAATGGTTGACTGTTGATACCGTTGTCAAAACAGCACAAAGTAATCTGCAGCCAAATCATCTGCAGCTAGAATCGAACATAATTAACACATGTGCAAGTGGATATCTAAAGAGAATCAGAGCTTGCTTGAGTTTCCCAAGAGTTCAAGGATTTGAGCTCACGCCACAAATAAAAAGATAATTATGCTTACTCTGCTGCTACTCTGCCAGCAGGTCAATTATCTTTATTATATTTCTTTTTTATACAGAGCTACCCCCTGCCCTGTACCCTCACTCATTTGTTTTCTGTTCACTTTTCTTCCAGGATCAGGAAGCTGTGGCCAGAGTTGCCTTCATGAAAGAGCCCAAAGTGGCGCGAGGAGAAGCACCTCAGACACCGATCTGCAACCTCAACATTCGCCTCCCAGACATGGTGCTGGTCAGATTTTTACTTTGCTGTTGTGGGCTTGTAGGGTTTTCCTGTGTTGTGGGTTTCATCTCATCTTCCAAAAACTTGTTTACTGTCAAGTTTTTTTAATTTTTGGAAACTGCTGTATCATCTCATATAGCCGTAGAATTTAAGTTTCTGAGACAGTTCTGTTTATAAGTGTCATTTTCTTTTCTTTATTTTTTTTATGTTTTTGTTTCTTTCCCTTTTTTTTTTTTTTAAATAAATCCTGTAGCTTTATCTTAACTCTTTTGGTCCCAAGGATTAAGCATCAGAGGCCCAAGCGGTAGTGTCAACGACTTTCTTTCTAATATATGACATATGGCTCGTGTTGCAGGCCAGTAACAGATAAGCCTACCCAAAAACACACCAAGCTGAACAACCATGGAGCACACAAAATCTTTAATGTACAAAGATCACTAAACCTTTGGAAGTTAGCCTCAAGAGCTGCAGGTTCCTTTTATCCGAAATGCAGGCCTTGCTAGTTTTACAAATCACTAATGACACCTTTCCGTACCTGTGGATGAGCACTGGGCACAAACCCACACCATTCTTGTACAGTCCTGTCCAAAGTTGCTGGCCTCAACATGAGATCATGAGGCAAGCACAAAGTGAATAGCCCAATGTGTGCGGTCAGATGTTAACACCACAACCAGTGCATAACAACCTTAAAAAAAAACTACTTTTACAAAATCTACTTGGACAATCCTTACCCACACAACAATGCTACAAGACTGCATAACTTCTTTAAACACTGTACGATACAAATTACCGCTACAACCTAGCCAAAAAATATTCATGTAGGTCACTACGGTTGTGGATAACATACTACGTTGTAACTGCCTGATGTCACCGTCGCAAAGTCCTAGACAATTCTTCCCCGATCTCTCTCTAAGCAAGGCTTTTCTCTACTTTTAACGTTTACCTCTGACTATTGGCTGCCAGTGAATTTTCACATGCGTACAGCTGAGTCGCCATGACTTATCTTGTGGTCGTTCTGTTTGGTCTCACCCTAGAGTTCATGTCTGGGGTACCTCGTACAGAAACCAAGATGCATCATCATCATACTCTTCATCCTGTAGCTGAAGTGACATCTGACAGGTAGTAAAGAGGGACGTAAAATCTGCATTTAACCTTTTAACTGCCAAACAACTGACCATATGTTATTTTTGTCATTTCAAAGATAATGTATTGTTCTAGTGTTCATCTCACAGATAGATGTTACATTAACTCCTTCTGCCTAATATAGTAGTATTTCTTCTGTCCCCAGTATGTATTGCTTTAAAGCGCTACTCTGTGGGATAGGCAGAGTTTAAATAACAAATGCTTGGGACCGAAAGAGTTAACTGTTTTCCTATAGTATTCGTTTTCAGTTTGGCAGCAGTAAATATAGTTTGATCTTTAACTTACGGTAATTCTAAACTAACACTCTAGAAACAATGCATGTGCAGTTTTATATGATTGGTTTTTTAATTGTTTTGTAAACTATGAAAATAGGTGTTGTGTTTTTTCCCCCAAATGATTTTTAACACTCATAAATTTATGTTATCTAGCGGGTTCTTTTTCCACATGTTCTTTCTATGCCTCCTCTTAACTTCTTTCTTTTCTTATAGGATTTGTGTCCTCCCCCTGCTGTCTTGTATCTCTCATAGTAGCATATATCCCCAACCAACTCACTATGCCTCCTTTTAATCCTTTGCCTTCCTGCAGAAAAAATATAGGACAAAAGGTAACACTGTAACTTCCTGTGCAGTTTATGAGAGGATGCAGTGAAAATGTGGACAGGAGACTGCCTTATCTCACATACACAATCCAGAAAATCTTGTGTTTACACAGCCTGTAACATATCTACTGTGAATTAGTTCACAACCTGTAACATATATACTGTGATTAGTTCACAACCTGTAACATATCTGCTATGATTAGTTCATAACCTGTAACATATTTACTATAATTAGTTCACAACCTGTAACATATTTACTATAATTAGTTCACAACCTGTAACATATATACTGTGATTAGTTCACAACCTGTAATATATCTACTGTGATTAGTTCACAACCTGTAATATATCTACTATGATTAGTTCACAACCTGTAACATATCTGCTATATAAGTTCACAACCTGTAACATATCTGCTATGATTAGTTCACAACCTGTAATATATCTACTGTAATTAGTTCACAACCTGTAATATATCTACTATGATTAGTTCACAACCTGTAACATATCTACTATGATTAGTTCACAACCTGTAACATATCTACTATGATTAGTTCACAACCTGTAACATATCTACTATGATTAGTTCACAACCTGTAACATAACTGCTGTGCTTAGTTCATGACCTACAACATACCTGTTAATTTACAACTTATGAAATGCTGGACGTATTTGTAATTTATAATCATGTTCTTGATACACTCAGTGTGTTTATGTTTGCAGCTTTTACAAAACTAGACATGTTCCTACAACTCTCTACCTGTTCTCTTCTACTCTCTTATGAAATGCTCCTCTCTCTATTCTGTAATTCTCTCTCTCTCATCTCTCTCTCTCTCTCTCTCTCTCTCTCTCTCTCTTCCTCTCCTGCTCTCTCTTCTACTCTCTCTCTCTCTCTCTCTCTCTCTCTCTCTCTCTCTCTCTCTCTCTCTCTCCCCCCCCCCCCCCTTTTCCTTTTGCGGGCAGCCTTTTTTTTCCTTCAAATTTTATTTTATAATATACTAGACTTGCTTTTTCTTCACTTAAAAACTTAACTCATTCAATTGCTAAACAAATTTAAATATTGGACCAGGCTGAGTGTAACTGGTTTCAGGGACCACCACTTATAGGTGGATGACAACCTGCACTGTAGTATGGTCTTGGCGTGTAACTCCCAACCTGGAGGACCAGGGTTTCCCTCTTGGTCTGTTCTCTACACTTCAACATTTCCGGCTTGGGAGGCCCTGATGGTGGCTACGCTATCGCCGGCATAACTCTCTCAGTACAGTGAACTGTATACACAGGCGAGTGAATGGTCATAGACCACAAAGCAGACTAAGAAGACAGTGGAGAGATAATGTCCAGACAGACCTGCCAACACTTGGTGTCACCAACTGGGAAGAGAAGGCCAAACAGACAGATGAGTGGAGGCAGGGTATATCTGCAGCAACGCTGAATAAGAAGAAGGATAATATGGTAAACCTTTAGGTAGCAGCCCATCGGGGACACACTGATCGACTGGGATTTAAGAGTTATAGTTCAGTCTTTTGGAAGAGTCTAGACAACATAACATGTCTTGTGTGTCCTTGACCAGGTAGTTCCAACAAACGCAGCAGAATTCTCTGTAACTGGCAGTAAAGTTTTGTGTTTTGATCATTGACATTTCAGTCTGACTCTGGTGAACTGGATGCTGACAGAGCTGCTGAAGTCCGTCATCGTCATGACTCCCTGCGGGCACAAGAACTAGGTCAGTGTCATGCTTGTGATTCTAGACCAGACTTCCAGTTTTGTATTATCAGAGTTTTTGGGGTTTTTTTTTCTTCTATTTTTATTTTAATCATGTTGAATACCACTGTGAAAAAAATTAGGGTTCTTCTGTTCTCGAAATCTTATTGTTTTAATTTTATGTGTGTTTCTTCTGACAAAGATTTTAGTTGTGTTTGTGTGTGTGACTTTTGACATCTTCTTGATTTTGGGGGGGGGGGGGGGGGGGGGGGGGGGGGGGGGGGGGGGGGGGGGGGGGGGGGGGGGGGGGGGGGGGGGGGGGGGGGGGGGGGGGGGGGGGGGGGGGGGGGGGGGGGGGGGGGTTTCACATTTTAGTTTCATCCACTTATGACATCCTCCTATTACAATCACAGATGGTTGACTTACATTATTAAATGACTAACTGGTACACTCTGAACGACTCCAATATTTATCCAGTGGAGAATGATTCATGCAAGTGTCTTTCGAATGTTAACATTTTTCTGCCTTTTGTGATTCATCATTTTCATGTAGCAGGTCTTTTGCAGAATGTTGCTGCCATCACAGCCTGCTTGCCTGACAGAAACTCAGTCTCTTGATAGATCTCCTACCTCATGTACTCTCATACCTAATGTGTCAATCCTGTGACCATATTTTCGCTGGTGGGCCTCTGCCATCTTTCCTGGCACCATTCCTTCTGCTACTTTATTTTCCAATCCTCCATTGCTCTTGATATTGCCAAAATATTGCTTTGATTATACATTTGTTGGGATAATAATATGGTAGTTTCTCCTTGCTTTCCAAATTTACATGGCCAGAACATACATTCTCTGCTTTTGTAAACCTTTTATATTGCCACAGCAAGTGAGTGTCTTGCTAGAGGTGTCCGCTTATCTTAGTGGGTACCCAGTCCCTTTAGCTTTGTTGGCCACACCACAATGAGTTGTTTATCATCTTCTACAACAGACTGACATTCCTCAAAACCGCAGTACTTTGAGGACTGCTTGTATGGTTAAATGATTAAGAGTATGTGATGAATAAGTCAACCTTACACTCTATACTTACAGTTATTCAAGACACTGTCAACCAAGCAGAGATGAAACTGTCAGATGTTGCTGACACTGTCCAGGGAGACTGGGTTGTCCTTGCTCAGCAGCTACAGATCTCCATCTCTGACATCAACCACATCAAAAACGACTACAAGACGGTTGGCGACCAGGCACTGGCCATGCTCCATTTCTGGGCTCAGAAGAGTGGGGAGAAAGCTACAGGTAAAGGTCATTGAAGTGCGCACCTGCTTCTTCGTATTCACAGGCTGTAAACTCACAGCAGAAAGTTATGGTTGGTTGTCCACTTCTGGACTTTAGTCTTTGTCCACTTCTGGACTTTAGTCTTTGTCCACTTCTGGACTTTAGTCTTTGGCCACTTCTGGACTTTAGTCTTTGTCCACTTCTGGACTTTAGTCTTTGTCCACTTCTAGACTTTAGTCTTTGTCCACTTCTGGACTTTAGTCTTTGTCCACTTCTGGACTTTACTCTTTGTCCATTCTGGACTTTAGTCTTTGTCCACTTCTGGACTTTAGTCTTTGTCCACTTCTAGACTTTAGTCTTTGTCCACTTCTGGACTTTACTCTTTGTCCATTCTGGACTTTAGTCTTTGTCCACTTCTGGACTTTAGTCTTGTTCCAGAACTTGACTTCTGTATTCACATCCAGTTTACAAATGTGTCTATTTGTATGCAGACTGTTGATTCCTTTCCTGTCAGGCAGATGCACCTTGACTTCAAAGGGAACTCCTAATGAATGTGTCCACTCTACAACATGCTTGTATGGGAGACTGTAGGTCTGCTCTTTTTTGTTTTTTTGGAACCCACATGGGGAAAGTGTGCAGCCAGTTGAAAAAATATTGTATTTTGTTTAATGTGTACAGTGTAACTGGACATAATGGCTCCCCCCCCCCCCCCCCCCCCCCCCCCCCCCCATCATTACCACTTTTAACCATTAGTAGAAGATTCTTTTATCCCATGATGTGTAGCTCTGGTATTGACAGTCTTGTATAATGGGCATCAGACAAAGACATCCAGGCTGAGGATGGGACGGTAGAGTTCTGAAATAACTACACTTGTGAAAATAAAGCCACAATATGACAATGAACCTGTGACCTTAAGTTTGAGAAAAATAACTTGATCCCCCTCCCCTTTCTGGATAAGCATTTTACAAAACACAACTCAGGGAGCACAGACAATAAGCAGTCCCCATACAATTCACAGCTCATAGTGTCACACCATGCACTTAGCTCAGTAACTTGCTGACAGTACCAGATTTCACCTTTTCCTTATTGTTGTCCAATCCAGTTTCCTGCAGGAAGTTGAAACCCAAACCTTCCATTGGATTACTGGAAGAAGAGGGTCCACCACTTAAAGTGAAATAGGCTTGAGCAAGAAAGGCTACAGACATTAAGAGTTTTGTACTGCACAATATATGTGGCTACTCGAGGATAGAAGGGGTATCTTGTGCACTCGTCCGAAGATGGTGACTGCGTTTACAGCATAGCTGTGATATAATAATATATACACCTTTCGACCCACACATCCGACTTCTGCAGGCATTTGTTGACCCGGTAAGCCTTCCCGGTGAACAGAAGGTGTATGATTCAGATCTGTCACGTATGTTTGTCATGACATTTTATATAGTTGTATTGCTTTCGGTTTTTTTTCTTCTTCTTCCTCTTCTTAGACTCCATCCACAACCTTCTCTCTTGTGTACTTTCAGTCAACTCTAACACAGATGATTTTCCATGCCATGATTTCAAACTGTTCTGCATCTGTTCTCTCTGTCTCCTTCCTCTCCTCCCCACTAGCTTCCCTACCGTCACGATGTACTCCATTTTTCATCTTCTCATCAGTCTTTAATCCCATTTTTTCAGTCTTTAACCACATCATAATATGTCTGGTTGCAGGTACCCAGCTGGAGAGTGCCTTACGAAGGATTAACCGTGATGATGTGGTGAGAAAATGCTTGCACCACGTGGTCAGGGAGGATGATGAAGTGGAAGCAGCTGCTGCTCGAGCTGCCATGGATCAGTCAGGTCAGACAACACAAATGTGTCCATGTGTTTACTTTTAATGCATGAACATAATTTAATTCAAATTAATTCATATATTTCCATATTACAGCTTTACTAATCCAACTGTAGAATCGGATATACAAGAAAACAAAGATATCCATATGAGCCATGGTTGAGACTGGTGCAGTAAATCAGCCATAAGATAAAAACTTAAGGAGTTGCTATATTTACTAAAATCATATATAAAAGTTAATTTGAGACTGTTATATCAGTTAATAGATGGGATCTTCAGATGGCTAAATTGGCCTCTTCAGGCTGTTGAAATGGCATCTTCAGGCTGTTGAGTTAGCATCTTCAGGCTGTTGAGTTGACATCTTCTGGCTGTTGAGTTGACATCTTCAGACTGTTGAGTTGACAACTTCAGGCTGTTTAGTTGGCATGAGGTGTTGAACTCTTGTAGAGATTTTTACAGTTTAAAAAAGAACTTCTTAGATTGCTACAACAAAAGCTTCTTCTTGTCTCTAGTCCCTGTTTTGTGTTTTAGCATCAGGTTTTGAAGAGGTATCTGGTGCAAGTCTTCATGTGGGCTGTGTAGATGCTGGTATTGATGACCTTAGAGAGTGTAGTTACATGTGAGATATAACTGGTTGTTACGAGTGTGCTGTTGACATCACAGGTAACGATAATCAGCCCTGTTACCTTTCCATCCTCATATGTGATGCTAGGTTTTCATGACCCATCAAGCTAACCTCATGGTGTGTGTCTGGTACCCATTGATGTGGGTGGGTTGACCTGACCCATCAAGCTAACCTCATGGTGTGTGTCTGGTACCCATTGATGTGGGTGGGTTGACCTGACCCATCAAGCTAACCTCATGGTATGTGTCTGGTACCCACTGATGTGGCTGGGTTGACCTGACCCATCAAGCTAACCTCATGGTATGTGTCTGGTACCCACTGATGTGGGTGGGTTGACCTGACCCATCAAGCTAACCTCATGGTATGTGTCTGGTACCCACTGATGTGGGTGGGTTGACCTGACCCATCAAGCTAACCTCATGGTATGTGTCTGGTACCCACTCATGTGGCTGGGTTGTCCTGACCCATCAAGCTTACCTCATGGTGTGTGTCTGGTACCCACTGATGTGAGTGGGTTGACCTGACCCATCAAGCTAACCTCGTGGTGTGTGTCTGGTACCCATTGAAATGGCTGGGTTGACCTGATCCATCAAGAAGACCATTAAGTGCTAGCAGCGAAGTTTGTCAGAAATGTCTTCAATATTAAATTGGGGCAGGTGGGGTTGCTATCTCAAAAGTCATAATTCTGCCCTGTCAATTTTAACACAAAAAATTAATTATACACATTCTTTGACACATGTGAAGTTAATAATAACATTTCTGTCCCTGTAGATTTAGACATTTTCAGGAGTAATGATTCTGCCCTGTAAGTTTTTTTTGACATATGTAAAGGTAACCAGAGATATCCCCAGCCCGTAGACTGACATATTTAAAAGTAACCCCAGATATCCACAGCCCTCAGACTGACACATGTAAAAGTAACCCCAGATATCCACAACAAGTAGATTGACACATGTAAAAGTAACCCAGATATCCACAGCCTGCAGACTGACACATGTAAAAGTAACCCAGATATCCACAGCCTGCAGATTGACACATGTAAAAGTAACCCCAGATATCCACAGCCCAAAGATTGACACATATATAAATAACCCCAGATATCCACAGCCTGCAGATTGACAAATGTAAAAGTAACCCAAGATATCCACAGCCCGCAGACTGACACATGTAAAAGTAATATTTCTGTCTTGCAGGTTTTGACACATTCAAAGAAGAGGTTGGCATCACTAAAGATTCCTTAAAACGAGGCATGTCACTTGATGTGCAGTACGATGAACAAGATATGATTAAGGTGAGTTGTGTACAAGTCTCCTTCCCTTAGCACCCTAGCTTTGAGCGAACATTATCAAAATGTTTGTACACAAAGAAGCAGCTGTGATATTTTATATATCTTTTTTGTTTCATGGTTTCTTGTCAATTGATTTTGTGTTTTGTCAACCTTCTGGTAAAACTTAGCTTCCTGTATGATCATAATTAAAATGTTATTTTCTGTGGGGCTCACCTTTAGAAACCTGTTTTGTGTGTGTGGGTAAGTGTCTTAAATTGCTTTATTTACAAAGCATGACATATGATATCACATCTCTAGTTTGAGAATGGAGTGGAGGCAGTCACTGCTGCCTTCCACCGGCTTAAGAATCAGCTGTATACATGTGCCGTGGTTGTAACTGACTCACAGAGCATGTTGAGAAAGGTTGCAGAGTGGCAAGCATCACTTGAGAAGTCTTATTCTTTACATAGTTACATTAGTGTCTGTTTTTAGCTGATTAAAAAAAAGTTCAGTATCTACCTGGTTATTATGGTGTTCTTGTAAAGGTGACCTTTTTCACTACCATATTTTTTGGGGCCCCATTATTTCTTGGATTTTCAATTTTGTCAGTTAACCTCACAGGGTGTGTATACTGTATACAAATATACTCTGTATGCGGCAGTACTGCCATGTGTCCTGTGTTCAGTCATACATATGTATCTGCTTGTACTACACTACTATGGCAGGTCCGTGGCCCTGAGTGAGTCATCACTCTCTCTGGTCTTTGTGTATGCTTTACAAGTGTAAGAATGTCTGTGTGCATACGTGAGTGTGTGAATGAGAGAGATGCACATTAATGAAATCTAATCTAACCTATCAGCATTCTGAAATATCAGTCACATGGTCAAAATATTTAAGTTTAGTAGTCGTTATCATACCACGTATGCTGACATATCATACCACGTATGCTGACACATACCACATATGCTGACACATTGCTAGGACATCATTTATAGTGCAGATCGTATTGTCCAGTCAGCTGTAATTTTGTCAAAAAGACTGGTTGAAAGGCACATATCACATAGTGACCTCAATATTTCTCACTGGTATAAAACAGAAGACTCATTTTGTAAATTAAGCTTTTATTTGTTCACTTTTTGTTTTCTGAATTTACAATAATCATTTACGTTTTTTTTTTAAATTTAAATAATATTGTGAGCTATATTTTGAAATAACAAAATACAAGAAATTAAATATATACCTACATACATGTTGGAATATCCTAGTTGCCATGATATCAGGTTATGCGTCAGCCATCTCTATTCCTGTCTTTCTTTCTGCATGCTTTTCCCTCTGTGCTACCAACCCAACCAACCATTCAGAAACTTGATGAAATTGAGGTGAGCTTACCAGACTTGGTTTTACTTTGTATCACTTCTCATTCTTCTTCTTCCTTTTATGTGTGTGTAAATCTTTCCACTTCCATTTTGACATCATTATTGTTGGTTTTTTTTTTTTAACCTGAGTCCAAATTGTAGCTAGTTCATCACCTTTATTATCTTGCAGACCCCTTTCACTGTTCTCCTTTTGATTTTCTTTTTTTTAGTATTTCTAGAAGTGTCCTGCATGCTGGAATTAAGGCACCTAACTTTATAGACATTTTTACAGTTCTCAAGAAATGTAAAAAAAAAAAATAATTCACAAAAATTTGTTTTGCACGGTTATAACCTAGCCATAGAAATGCCTTGTTGGACTGAACGGTAGCAAAGGGTAAGATACTCACTGACGCTCAGCACTCAGGGGAAAGGTGAGATAGATGTACAATCTGACAGTTAATAATACTGTCAGAATTGGAACTTTTCGCTTGCTGCTGAAGATGGGGATGGGGTGCTTTTGGGAGTGTCCAAGGATCTATGATGTCGATTCTTAACAGTACTTTAGTGTCAAAATTGGACTGAGCTTTCCCTGAGTGTCACAACATTGTTAGTGTTCACAAATAATAATCAGTATTGTAAAAAGTACAGAAAATGTTTAGTTGATTATTATTTTACAAAGAATTGTAAAAAAGATTCCAAAGTTTGTAAATGGGTAAAAATTGACTAAATACAAATTGAAGATTACTAATTGTTGAATACTTATTGGATACTTGTCATTGAGTTGCAAGACAAAATTATGAACACAGGTTTGTGAAAGAGCAGGTACCACAAGAGTTTTCCTAGTGCTCAGTCACTGAAGGCTCAGATGGCAAAGAAACAGATGGAGGATGCTAGAGTCCCTAATGACAATGTGTTACAATAACCGTAAGGTCATGGATTTTTTCTCCATCAGGAGAAAAAATGGAATCCTAACAGGCACAGTCCATGACAGCACTGGCTGTGCAACCCTAAATCATTGTGCTCAAAGGATCCCCCCCCCCCCCCCCCCCCCCCCCCCCCCCATCCCACAGCTCTTAGTACCACTGTTGAAACCAACACAAGACAGACTCCACAGCTGGAATCGAACCCGGCATTACAAAGCGCATTCACAGTGCCTAGGCCACAGACACCGACTTTCCATTAAACACGTTCATAATCTGATTATTTGTTATTTTTATGTTATTTATTACTAACTGGAGGAAAAACAATCACACATTTTGGCATGCCTTTAATACCATGCGTCATTCACTAACATTGTTATATGTCAGCAGTATGTGGCTATCCACGTAGCAGCTTCTGTTTCTAGAAAGCAGACAGAAAAACATAAACGTTAAAAACACTTTAAAATCTTTTCAGAAAATTCTCCCCCATAGTTAAAAGGCCAAGCTGATAGTTAACTGCATTTTATAAATGCTGTCCTGTTTGTTCAATGACAAGGAATGAGCAATACAACTTTATTTTTGAAGGATCACAAACTAGACATGCAAGCCTGTTCTGCTTGTGTCTCTTCTAACAACTTTCCTTTCGTACAGCAGTTGTATTATATTTCTACTTTCGTCTCTTCTAACAACTTTCCTTTCGTACAGCAGTTGTATTATATTTCTACTTTCGTCTCTTCTAACAACTTTCCTTTCGTACAGCAGTTGTATTATATTTTATTACTTTCGTCTCTTCTAAACAACTTTCCTTTCGTACAGCAGTTGTATTATATTTCTACTTTTGTCTCTTCTAACAACTTTCCTTTCGTACAGCAATTGTATTATATCTCTACTTTCGTCTCTTCTAACAACTTTCCTTTCGTACAGCAATTGTATTATATTTCTACTTTCGTCTCTTCTAACAACTTTCCTTTCGTACAGCAGTTGTATTATATTTCTACTTTCGTCTCTTCTAACAACTTTCCTTTCGTACAGCAATTGTATTATATCTCTACTTTCGTCTCTTCTAACAACTTTCCTTTCGTACAGCAGTTGTATTATATCTCTACTTTTGTCTCTTCTAACAACTTTCCTTTCGTACAGCAGTTGTATTATATGTCTACTTTCGTCTCTTCTAACAACTTTCCTTTCGTACAGCAGTTGTATTCTTTCACTCAAGATTGTTAAGTCAGAAACATATTTAGCTGGATACAGGAAGATATATAAAGTTTAGTTATTTTTCTTTTACAATATAAATTTTGTTTTCACTTCAAAATTCTTAAACTTTAATATTTATTATTGGCAGTTTACTACTTTTATTACATGTGTTTCATTTGTTGATAGTTTTAAAAACTACTTTTTTTTCTTCAAATCTCCAACATTCTTCTGTCTAGACCTTTTTTTCTGTGCATGTGATTTCCTGTTCACGAGTCCCGTGTATGATTAGTTGACCATCACTTCATGAATTTTAAACCAGCAAATTAATCAGATTGGACACTGGATAATTACTGTGTGAATTTTAAGTTATCATATTTTGAAAATGATACAACATCTAGCATGAGAATGGAGGTAGGGGCTGTAACTGCAGCTTTCTGGTGGCTAGAGAACAAGATGCATACACATGCTGTAATTGTAACAGACTGAGAGCATGCTGAGAACAGTGAAGCCAGGGATGCTTTGAGCACAGTGGCAAGCTTCACTGGGAAGGTCACATCTTTTGTCCAGGCAATGTCGGCATGGTGGGGAATGAACATGCAGACAAATTGGCTGAATCTGCTCTACTGGGTGGTGAATTGATACATGACAAGGCAGATGTTGTCAGGGCCCTTTGGGAAAAAAGCAACTGAGTCAGAAGTGAAACAAGTTATTAATGGAGAGAATGAGGCAAATGGGTGTAACCAGAGGGTTTGGCTGGCTCACTACACTCAGAGGAAAGGCAAGAAAGGCATATAACCAGATTACAATCGGTACCATTAGTATTTGAACTCTGCGCTGGCTGCTGAAGAAAGGACGGAGCATGCATGATAATGCCCCAAGTGCTGTGATGTCAATTCTTGACTCAACTTGACTCATTTTGAAAATGTATCATTACTATATGAATGTTTTAGTTAGCATATCTTTCCTCTTGAAAATGGGAGAAGACCATTACTTCATGAATTTTGACTCTGGATATCCTTCACCATGAAATCGGGTTATAGAAGGAGATTGAATATGTCATGTCCACCTTTGACATTCATAGTACATATCCCAAGGTGGAAGAGAAACTGTTGAGAGAGTACCACTGTACTTACCACATGAACTTCACTGTCCTTTAGTGCTGCCTATACCAATATCTGAGCACTGCCCTTACCTTTAGTACTACATATACCAGGACCACTTCAGCTGCACTTACCTCTAGTACCTAAATACCAGTACCACATGTACTGCACTTACCTCTAGTACCTAAATACCAGTACCACATGTACTGCACTTACCTCTAGTACCTAAATACCAGTACCACATGTACTGCACTTACCTCCAGTACCATATTATTTAAGCAAAACTAGAATGTACTAACTTGTATCAGTAATATGCATCAGTATCAATACTACTACATTTTGAACCAACCACACTATTAGCACCACACTTGCCCCTTACACCACACTTGCCCCTTACAACACACTTGCCCCTTACACCACACATGCCCCTTACAACACACCTCTAGTACCCCTTACCACCACACACTGCCCCTTACACCACCACGCACTTCCCCTTACTAAAACACACATTGCCTCTTACACCACACATAAATACCAGTACCCCTTACACCACACTTGCCCCTTACACCACACGTGCCCCTTACACCACACGTGCCCCTTACACCACACGTTATTTAAGCAAAAAACTAGAATGTACACCACATGTGCATCAGCCCCTTACACCACACTTGCCTCTTACACCACACTTGCCCCTTACACCACACTTACCCCTTACAACACATTTGCCCCTTACAACACACTTGCCCCTTACAACACATTTGTCCCATACAACACACTTGCCCCTTACAACACACTTGCCCCTTACAACCACACTTGCCCCTTACACCACACTTGCCCCTTACACCACACTTGCCCCTTACACCACACTTGCCCCTTACACCACACTTGCCCATTACAACACATTTGCCCCATACAACACATGTACAGATGTCATAAATCCATTACACCATATATTGACCTGTAGTGCTACCTGTATTATTACGTTAGTACCACATATAGCAATATGACTGGTTCCACATTTGCTTCCTGCACCAAATATGTCAGTAAACTGAATCAATTCAGCCAATGTCCCAGTTGTCTGTAGCAACAAATATATATGTACCACTTACACCTAGCACCACATATATCAATACTGCATATATCAGTACCACTTATACCACACATATCTACACTAATGGCGCCACACTTTCATCTACTATCACATATATCGATACTGGTGAAACACCTCTAGTATCACATATATTGATACTGAAGCCACACTTACTTCCAGTATCACTTATTTTGATACAGTAAAACATATACCTGTACTGAAGCCACAGTTACCTCTAGTATCACATATATCAATACCGTAGCCACACTTACCCTCTAGTATCACATATACTGATACTGGAATCACATTTACTGATACCTAAGACACACTCACCTCTAGTATCACATATACCGATACTGAAGCCACACCTAACTCTAATGTCACATATACCAATACTGTACCCACATTTACCTCTAGTATCACATATATTCAGACTGTAGCCACACTTACCTGCAGTATCACATATATTAATACTGGAGCCACACTTACCTCTTATATCACATATACTGATACTGGAGCCACACTTAACTGCAGTATCACATCCTGCTCAGTGATTCTGGTGGAATGTTTCCTGGTCAACAGACAACCTATGCCTACCTCAGTGTGTGTGTAAGTCTCCACAAGTTGCACAGCTTTCACAAACCACATGCAGCAGTCATAAATGTGGATGTAAGCTGTTGTCATCTCTCAAGTTGGGCAGCTTCCTGTTGTAATGTTTCCACAAAGTGATCCATGGATTTAGAGAATCTGAAATTTGGGCTCATATGTGGAAGATATTATTTGACATAAAACCTCAGGCAAATGGCACAATCATTTGTCGAGTTGTTCTTTAGAGTGTTAATTTACAATGTGTGATTGAATGTTAGAAACTATAAGATCACAAACATGATTGACAAAAGATTGTTTTGTGCTTGTTTTCTAGATCACTTGTTTTGTATATTATAACTTGTTGAGCTTCTCTTTGCTGATTGAGTGATTCAGTATATTAATTTGGTAAATGCTTCCTGAGAATGAAGTAATACATACTGCCATATTGAGGATTGGAGCATGTTTGAACAGTATTTCTTCTATATTACAGGAGTCAGAATCAGCAGCTGAAGACAGCCCAACTGCTGTGAAAGAGCGTTTCCATGATGAACAACAGTACGAAGCTCCACGTGCTCCAGGAGAAGGTGAGTTCAGAATACCTGTGTGTTTTAGGGCTGGTTTCTTGAGCATCTCAACTCAATTCACCTCTGTATGAAAGCTGCCACTGTGTTGTTTAAAATCAATGCTATTCCTGCAATTTCTGATTAAATTGTTTTGTTAGGTGGATGTAAAGTTTGTATTTACTTGGTCAGTACCAAGCTATAACGGTTTATGTGGAAGTATTTTCTTTGTGTGTGTGTTTGTTGGGTGGCATATTAGTATCAGTCGTATGTATCAGTCATGGTACATTCTTTGCAAACCAGCGAGTTAAAATGGAGAAGATTGATTTCATTGCACTAGATCACATCCGATCATTCTCGTCTCTTTTTAACAGCTAGCCATCTGCCAAGAGCATCACACAAAGCACAAACCCTGTAGCTCTGATGATGATCTCCCTAGAAATTGTGCTCATAAACATCACAAATGACAGTCCATGATCAGTGACAACTTGACCAGTGACCAAATATTCCCACAGACTTGTTCTATTTGCACAGGAGTCAGAAACAATACATTGAAAACTTTTCATAGTGTTTGCCAGTCACATCATCTTCTTGGCCAGTGATGCGTAGTCCATTTGTTGTTGATCTGGTTTTGCTGGCCTCGATATTTTGTTGCAGTGTGCTCCAGGTGCTATCATTAGATAGATAATACTGCCATATTGGCCTGTCAAGACATAGGCCATTTGTTGTAGGTCTTATTGTCTGTTTAATTCTTTTTTTTTTTTTTTCAACCTTCTTTTAACTGAAAACTACTTGAGTTATTAACATTTGTAAAAGGCCAGACATGACTCCTTCATGTGTTTTCAAGTAGATAACAAAAATATTGACACAGGTATCACAATTTGACATAATTAAATGTGACATGACTACCTGGTTGTCATGCTGTGTTCTCTTAGCTTTGTTCTGTTATTGAAACTGTCAAGACTACCATACCTAAATACAACTTGTCTCGAAGGTGTTCATTCATTTTTGTTTTATTATTATTCAGTACAATTCCAAATACTGTTTGTAATTGAACTGAAATATTTGAGAGGTGATGAAGACTTACAGGATTGTCTGTTAAATTATTTATGCATTCTTTAATATATTTGCATTCTTGTTTTGGGTGGCCATATTTTGGAGAATGGTTTATTTAGTACAGTGGTTCTTTATTAGCCAAGACCTGCAGAACCGTGTGGCTGTTGAAGGTCTACCACAGACCCATACTTTTTCAGTCATGCTAAAGAACTTATTATAATTTATCAATAATAGAATCACAAAAAAAAATAATGCATTTTTAAAATTAAGTGTTGTTTTTGTTTGACCTTTTTACTGTAAATGGACCCCTTAAAAAAGAAACTTGTTATTCTTCTCATTCGACTGATATAAGCTCAGAAGGAAAGTTCTTCTTCTTCTTCTTCGCGTTCACCAGCTGTAAACTCTGGCGGAAGGTTCTGGTTGCTCGTCCACTACTGAACTGCAGTCCTGCTCCAGAACCTGAGTGTTGCGTGTGCATCAGTTTTACAGATCTCATTCTCTTGAATACAGACTGTCGGTTCCTTGCCTCTCCGGCAGATGCACTCCGACTTCAAAGGAAGCTCCCCAATTAGTCGACTCTCACAACATGCTTGTTGGGGAGGCAGTGGGTCTATTGTTGTTTCCCCCACAATGGGGCCCCGGAACCCACAGGGGAAGTGGGGGGGGGGGGAGTTCTGACTGTCCATCCATTTCTCTGGACTTGAATCTTGTTCCAGAACTTGAGTTTTACCTACACATTCATTTTACAGATCTGGCTTATTTGTGTGCAGAGTGTTGGTTCCTCATCTCTCAGGCAGATGTACTCCAACTTCAAAGTAAACATCCCTGTTTAGTCCACCATTATGGTGTGGTTGTTTGGGGTGGGGGATATAGCATTGCATCTGTTTCTGTTCCTACCACAATGAGACTTCAAAACCCACATGGATAAAAGATAAAAGATTCAGCAAATGTGACCTGAACATTGTATCCAAACATGTAATGAGTGTGCCTTAGATGGCTAAAATACACATGTAACCCTCTATGAAACAACAGATCTGTCAGGCTTCAGTAGATTGTTTTAACTCTGTAAATGTCAGCGTTCAGGAAAGCCCTTCCTTCCTTCCTTCATGCACAGTAATGATACATTAATATCCTGATGAGGGTTGTTCTCGTCAATACATATACATACAGACATAATGATACTTGCAAAAGCCTAACTCCCAGTAGCAGTCACATCGTTACTATTTCAATCACCACAACCAAATAAACACCAACACTTGACTGCAGCAGCATCTCATGGAGACTGGATCAGCACAGAATTTGTGGAGGCAAGTGTGGATGATCGCAGACCTTGTGCTCCTGCTCCCAAATTGCCTGATGAAGAAGACGAAGAATCTAGACTAAGAAAGGAAGCATACGTGGACTTTGCTCTACAGCTGGACCAACTTTCGGAGATGCAGGATTCACATTTGTCACCTAAAGGTATTTTGGGGATCTAGTTGTTTGCCTGGCTTGATAACCTCAGGTCTGCCTGGCACCTGCTTTTTGTGTGCATTTAGTCATCAAAATCTTTCTAGCATTTTTCTATTTATTTATTATTATTTTTTCTGACAGTTTGGGTTTGGTCATTATTGCTTGATCATTATATGCAGCGTTTTATCTATTAAGTATTTTATCTAACTGCAGCATAGCTGCATATGTTTTATCATGTTTTTTTATTCACATTTTAGTTCACTCATTGTAAATGTTAATTTGCTGAAGCATGGGTTTGTTTATTCAATTTTTTAAAGCAATAATTCCACCAGGTGCATGACATTTTCTTCATTCTGTTCACTCACCAAATGTTCAGTAACTTGAATGTATTAACTAGATCAGCATCTTAGGGCTTGGGGCACACCCATATGTGCTCTATCTCTCCTTCTATCTCAGTGAGTGGTGAGCCTTTCAGTTACTGTATCCATCTCTCACTCCAGCATAACTGATGCAGTTCATAGTGTGCAATCTGCAGTTTATAGGAAATGGAAGGGGAATATGGATATGGAAGAATATGACAGCGATTTTGACACCTAGTCTTTTTAGATGGGGTGGGGGCTTTGAGTGTGTATGGATAACGTGTATGATAAAAATGCTTGTATATTTGGAAATAGAAAATGAACAGGTTCAGTAGGCTACCGCCCAAGTTAAATATCAAGTTAGTCAAATCTACACACGTGCAAACACTTAAATAATTACAAGGTCAATGCCCTTTGAGAGCAAGTAAACAGTGCAGAATCACGAATAGATCATTCCAATGTGCAGATAATGATGCAGCGGGGAGTGACAAGGAGATCTGGCCAGTACTCTGCACTCCAATGTGAGGCTCGGCCGACATATAATCACAATGCTACTGGTACCATCAGAATTAGAACTCTTTCTTCACTGACTGCTGAACATGAGGATGAGACAACTTTAGACATTTCTGAGCATTTTCGAGCCTTTTCTGGACTAAACTCAGTTGATCTGTGCAGATTTGGATTATCTCCATTCGAGACATTTTTGAACTCACTTAGTGTGCGCAGATTTGGATAATCTCCATTCGAGACATTTCTGGACTAAACTCAGTGTGTGCAGATTTAGATAATCTCCATTCAAGCCATTTCTGGACTAAATTCAGTTAGTGTGTGCAGATTTGGATAATCTCCGTTCGGGCTATTTCTGAACTAAACTCGGTTAGTGTGTGCAGATTTAGATAATCTCCATTTGAGACATTTCTGGACTAAACTCAGCTAGTGTGCGCAGATTTGGATAATCTCCATTCAAGCCATTTCTGGACTAAACTCGGTCAGTGTGCGCAGATTTGGATAATCTCCATTCAAGCCATTTCTGGACTAAACTCAGTTAGTGTGCGCAGATTTGGATAATCTCCATTCAAGCCATTTCTGGACTAAACTCAGCTAGTGTGCGCAGATTTGGATAATCTCCATTCGAGACATTTCTGGACTAAACTCAGTTAGTGTGTGCAGATTTGGATAATCTCCATTCGAGACATTTCTGGACTAAACTCAGCTAGTGTGCGCAGATTTGGATAATCTCCATTCAAGACATTTCTGGACTAAACTCAGTTAGTGTGCGCAGATTCGGATAATCTCCATTCAAGACATTTCTGGACTAAACTCAGTTAGTGTGTGCAGATTTGGATAATCTCCATTCAAGACATTTCTGGACTAAACTCAGTTAGTGTGCGCAGATTTGGATAATCTCCATTCAAGACATTTCTGGACTAAACTCAGTTAGTGTGTGCAGATTTGGATAATCTTCAGTGCTCTTGAGTCTGTGAACCATGGCAGAAAACTGAAATAACTTATGTAGATGTCCGAGGTTTGAAACTTATTCCTTACAAGTCAGACTGTCTACCTCAGCTTTTGTTCTGCTAAAAGATGCTCACTCCCTTGTGATATCTGCGGAAAGCTCTGACAGAAGAGCTCCAATATTGCTGCCGCCATGATTTTGTTGACGTTGATTTTACATGTAAGAGGGTCCCTTTTAAGTGTGGGCAATGAGAGGGTTCCTTTTAAGTGTGGGCAATGATGTAAAAGGGTCCTTTACATTTGTACAATTGTTGTTGGACCCAAGACCATGTTCATCTGTTGTTTCCTTTCTACAGAGTAGTAGTCACTGCTGTTCATTACAGTTTCTCTATGTGTGTGTTATATTGCAAGATTGTTAAGTAATGAGCAGATACAATGAGAATGAAAACACGCCTAGTATACCTGTGAATAATCTAATGATGTGGGCTTTTCAATAGGTCTTTTTTGTGTGTTAAACAGTGATTGTGACAACAGACCCACCCACAATGCACTACAGGTTACTTCTGAACCATTTTGTTGTGCTATATGACTAAGATTCAAAGGGGTTTCTAGTATTTCTACCTGTGTGATTCTCATTCTTGAGATGTTAATCCTTCTGGTTGCTGTCCTGGGATTTATAAAGCATGCATAGTTGCATTTTAACTTACTGCTTGTTTAATTATTTGCAAATTTGGATGACATGATTTCTTTTGCTTCTGTAATGTATGCCAGTATGGTTTGATTTGTGGGTGTACATGCGTTTTTTTTTTAAATTTCCTTGCTAGTGTTGTTTAGTTTCTTCAAAATGGTTTGTCTCAACTGCCAGCAAATGACAACACATTCTTGAAAACTGTTTGCCCGGTTTGCTGTCAGTATGATTTAGTGTCAGATGCTACAGTTTCATTAAAATTGATACTCTTGACTTCTTCTGACCTTTTCATGTCATTTGACCAAGATTGAAGTATTTATTTTAATTGTGTCTTTCCCTTGTACTGGCTACTACCAAATGTTTAGGACTTATTTTAAAAATCCCCCACCCCATTCCACAAAGCTCTTTTAATAATCCTTCTTGAATTCATTCCTAGTTATATTGATTCTAGTCCCTAAAATAATTATAAATGCTTAAATTCAATGTCTCTAATCCACCTGCGTACATCAATAACAAACTAATTCTGAGATCCTTACAGAAATAAACATCAATCTTAGTGCTCTTGACAACGCTCAACAAATGTTTTTACACCCCCCCCCCCTCAATTCATCGGCACTTCGCTGAAAGTTTGTTTGTTTTAGTGTCCAGAAGCCATGAGTTGTTAACCCTTAGGCTCGGTATTATGGATATCGCAACCTTTCGGCCTTGATTCCATTGTAAATACCGTAAATCTGGGAGAAAATGTGGCTTTCCTGCCTACCCCCGGGATTGAACCCGGACCACAAGGAGTTCGTCACCCGGTCTCCGCGAAATCCGGTTTAGCCAATTCCGCTAGAGAGCCGGGCTTCGCTGAAAGTAAAAGGTAGAAGCTGGTTTGGCAACATAAACTGGCGTAACTGCCTATATTTAGCACTTTTGTGGGGGAGGTGTGTTTCCAGTCTGAGGCTTTAAGGCCGCATGGATAGGGCTGTCGCCATGGACTGTGCAGTTTATGATTTTTATTTTCGCGGACCACAGAAAGGTGGGGGGGGGGGGACCCTTACCGAGGATTTGAACCCTAGTCGAATGAGAGCCCGGCGTTCTTAAGCCTTCACAGCCACCGCTCCTCGCGATTTTACATAAACTAGAATTGTCTTCAATTTCTCACCTGATAGGAGACCTTTGGTTGCGAATGCTTGCAAACTCTAGCTTCTCAAATACTGGCCTCTTCCAAAATACTGGCCTCTTCCCAAATACTGGCCTCTTCCCAAATACTGGCCTCTTCTCAAATACTGGCCTCTTCCCAAATACTGGCCTTCAAAGGATAAAACAAACGGGCTAGAGTACGTTTAGTCCGATTGTGTTGTTGGCAGGATATTTTCCCGTTGTGTAATAGTTTGCCTGTGCTACCACAGTACGGCGGTGACCGGGAGAGTACTCGCAAGGTGATAGGTGTAGGTGTATCGTGCTGCAGGGCGCGGCACGGCGGATGTGTGAGCTGCGGTGTCATTAGAAGGTCGCTGAAGCTAAACATTCATGTCTTACGTGACGGTTGTGCGGATTTATCTGCAATTGTGGCTGCCGTTTAAGACAGTTGTGCTTCAGTACTGGCCGGCGAAACGTGAGTACATGCGACAGGCGTGTTGACGTTTTGTGTGCGTGTTCTTGGATGCGACTTCCCTGTCATTAGCATTCACTGGTCTGTCAGGTCGAAGGGTCGACCTCGACCGTAAGAAGTCTCAACCACCCTTTATGCCTCGTCTTCTCTGTACCGTGTATTCACCGTATATTTATGAAGGCTTCTAGTTCGGATCTTAGCTCATGTACCAAGCAGGTGCTGCTTTAACTCATGCAGGGTTATTGCTAAAAATTATTGGCTCCGTGGAACATAATTTATATACATATTCATGTAGGTTTCTCGTTGGAATCTCAGCTCTTGTACCAAGAAGGTGTTGCTTTAACTCATTCAGGGCCCTTGGAAAATTATTTGCTCTGTGGAATAGAATTTATAATAGTAGCGCTCAGGTGCTGCAGAAGTTAACTTATTATTAGCACTGTGTAGTAGCAGGAGTTAAATAGTTAGCGATTTGAAACAGGAGACTTTCTAAATATCACACGTTGTGAAACAGAAGTTAAATTTATTAGCGCCGTGGAACATGATGAGTTAAAATATTAACACTTGAACAGAAGTTAAATCAGTAGCTCTGCGGAACATAATGGGTTACTTCGTATTGCTGTCTCATATGATGAGTTAAATCAGTAGCTCTGCGGAACATAATGGGTTACTTCGTATTGCTGTCTAATATAATGAGTTAAATCGGTAGCTCTGCGGAACATGTGGAGTTAGAATAACGCTATGGAACGTGTTAAAGTTTGAGGTTTGAACTTTGACAGGTGTTAAAGTCGCAGTGGGAGAATGAATGGGTTAAGCCTACCAGGGTCTGACCAGTCGTGTACTACTCGGGGTTATTCAACTGGCGGCCTGCGGAAGTCTAGCATGTGGCCCAGGATAATTGCCAGGTGTATTGTTTTATTATTTCTACATTAGTGCCTCTGGGCTGTGATGATCCATATTTTCACAAGTTTGGCTCCTAAGCGAACTCATTTGAATAACCCTGGGTTACGGCTCCAACTTGATGGGTCAAACATAGTTCAGAAAAGTGTATCCTATCACCAGAAACTAACAATCGCGTCGCGAATTGCTTGGTAGTGAATGGTCATTGTAGGCTGCATCAACTTGCATGGAATCCAAAGACAGTTGTAAAAAAAAAATCGACCTGGCAAGTCGTAGAATTATTTTTCACCTAGTAATTTTATGGTTACCTGCCAAGGGGCTGCAGATAAGACCAGGCAGGCTGGCGTAGCCGCGCCTTAGCGGGGGAAGGGGGTGGGGGTGAGTGGTCTCGAGGCATGGCGTCCGCTTCGAGTGCTGGATATCCCAGGTTCAGACCCCGGTGAAGGCTGGGATTTTTAAGTGGACTTTTAGTAATTTGCCCCTGTCTCTGGGTAGTAAGATCGGACGCCTGTGTGTATAGTTGCGCATGAAAAGAAGCATACCGGCTCAGCCCAGACAAAATAGGGAGTTGAAAATCCACCAAAAAATAAAGGATCCTCGCTGGTGCTACGGAGTTCGTGCACTGCGCTGAGATTATTCGGACTCAGGTTTGACTTTGAAGTAGAACAGAGCACTTGTGGATTACTACCCGTATGCATGATGTGTGGTTTGACTTTGAAGTAGAACGGAGCACTTGTGGATTACTACCCGTATGCATGATGTGTGGTTTGACTTTGAAGTAGAACGGAGCACTTGTGGATTACTACCCGTATGCCATGATGTGTGGTTTGACTTTGAAGTAGAACGGAGCACTTGTGGATTACTACCCGTATGCATGATGTGTGGTTTGACTTTGAAGTAGAACGGAGCACTTGTGGATTACTACCCGTGTGCCATGATGTTGATGGTTGTTTAAACCTAAAACCCGTCTTAGTGTCCAGCGCGAAACGGATATCCCAGTTCTCAAACGCGCGGCCCTGATTATTTTAGCCACTGTCGCCTGGCCTCATGGCGTGCCTCTGTTGTGGCCTGTTACCCGGCAACCAGCGTGTTATGCGCGCGAAGTGGACATGGTAATAATATTGACGAAACCAATGACTTCAAGAACGGCAACAGAACCTGGAAAAAAAAAGGGCGGGGGAAGGGTTATGTCTTTATTTATATTGTAATTCAAGTGAGAGCAGTACACGAACTCTCTCTCTCTTTCTCTCTCTCTCTCTCTCTCTCTCTCTCTCTCTCTCTCTCTCTCTCTCTCTCTCTCTCTCTCTCTCCCTCTCCCTCCCCTCTCCCTCTCTCATTTTTACTGACACTACCACGGCTACCTGGGCCTAAATCGTTAATCGTTAATCAAGTAATGGGTGTCTAGCGGTAGCGGCTAGACCATTAGTCTATTGGCCCGAAGTTCTTGAGTTCAAAGCCACATGGAGATTTTCTAAATTGCCTTGGCTCTCAGTTCGACCCCAGCATAAAATGGATACTGATTCTTTTCTCTTGGCACCACAGCTTTGTTCTCTTCATTTTCTTTGTTACTTTGAGATAATAAAAACAAATAAGATACTTTTCTTTTTGTTCACCTTGTCTCGTGGCTCTGATTTCAGGGAGAGTTCCCGGGAAGGTCCTGTTGTATAGGGGTGTTAGGGTGTAAAATGAACACCGCCTAACATTAACCCACCCCCTCTCCCCCCAGTAATGTTAGATTTTCTCGGAGACACCCCGCGAAATCTTGGACTCACCCAGATGGGAGAAAAAAGGGGGGGGGGGAGAGAAAAAGTACTACAGATAAAAAAAAATTTTCACGAATGTCTCATGGTGATACACCCATTGGTTTGATGTTTCAATCGGCACTCAATGGTTGATGTGGTCAGCAGCACACCCACTGCCTTTTCTTTCAAGTACATTTCCTTGCGCCTATTTAAAGCTGGGTCAAACTGAGAGCTCTTGGTGAACTTAAAACGAGTTTGAACTCAAAACTTACAAGCCAGCTGGCAAGCATCTAGTCATTGGCACTACCACAGCTCCTGTTATTATGATGCTACCAGGTGATCCCATTTAGTTAATAACCTCCTGTGTGTACAGAATTGTACCAGCACAGTCCACAGATCTCCCTGGGGAAATCATGATAAAAACATTATTTAAACCAAGCCTGTTCTTTCTTTGACTTTATCATTGCATCCATTGTCAGTTACATTTGTGGTCAAATAAAATTTGCTTATGCATTTCACCCCCCCCCCCCCCCCCCTTTCCCCCAACCACCACCACCACCACCTCTGTTAAATGTCTTCTTAAAATTACAGGTTTTTTATAATTACTTGTCAGTTTTTTGTTAACTGTGGTTGTATGCCAGTCTGCTATATTTGGTATTTTTTCTTGTAAATGTTATATAAATATATTTCAAAATAGTTCACCTCCCTGTTTGTTAATGGACGATTTAACCGGGCATGATCCTTTTTTCTTTATTGAAATGTTTGTCAGTTTTGCAGCATGAGGCATGGTTGCAGCCAATTTTGTTTGTTTTTTCCCCTTCTTTTTGACATTGTTCATTTTATTTTACTTGAAATTTTTGCTATTTAGCTAAACCCTGAGTTATGTATATTTGGTAGATGTGTGTTTTGTATAGTTTTAACCTGACTTGTCTTAGTTTAGTTTTCTAATCTAGCACTGTATACTTGTGTATACTATTACAGTCATATGAACACCTTAGTGTGGTTTAAATTTAGAATGACAAATACTTCCTTGCAGCTTGAAGTTAATATAATTTAAGACTGGCAAAATTGTTTATGATTGGGGGGGGGGGGGGGGGGGGGGGAGAATATAACAGACTGCTTGATGTTTTCATTCTTCGCATATATTGAATCCCATCATGAGGCTAAACTTAGGGTGTAATGGCTCAGATGTTTGTAGTGATTGTTTCCTCCATTCTACTTCAATGTTACACTGCATCTCTGTTATGGACACTATGGTCAAATTTTAGGTACAGAATTATCTAAATATGGTATTGTTATTTCACTGGAACTGAACTGTGGAAAGCATGATGTCAGATAATTGAATACAGCAAATGTAGAGATGCCTTTGTACCAGGCATATTGTGCTAAATTCATCCATGTATGTTTAAATCAGTCATCACAGGGGGTCAGCACACAGTGGGTCAGCGCACAGTGGGTCAGCGCAGAGTGGGTCAGCACACAGTGGGGCAGCGCACAGTGGGGCAGCGCACAGTGGGTCAGCGCACAGTGGGTCAGCGCACAGTGGGTCAGCGCACAGTGGGTCAGCGCACAGTGGGTCAGCGCAGAGTGGTCAGCGCAGAGTGGGTCAGCACAGAGTGGGTCAGCACAGAGTGGGTCAGCGCGCAGGGGGTCAGCGCACAGGGGGTCAGCGCACAGGGGGTCAGCGCACAGGGGGTCAGCGCACAGGGGGTCAGCACACAGTGGGTCAGCACACAGTGGGTCAGCACACAGGGGGTCAGCACACAGGGGGTCAGCACACAGGGGGTCAGCACACAGGGGGTCAGCGCACAGGGGGTCAGCGCACAGGGGGTCAGCACACAGGGGGTCAGCGCACAGGGGGTCAGCGCACAGGGGGTCAGCACACAGGGGGTCAGCGCACAGGGGGTCAGCACACAGGCAGCTTGACCTATCAGGACATTTTCTTAACAAGATTTTGGCTGGGACCCATAGACATTTACAAACAGGAATGTTTACTGATAGCTATAAATCACTTTTTCTGTTTAACCACTGAAGATGTTGACTGTAATATTTATCATGTTTATATGTTGCAATGTTTGTGGGCAGTGGTCGGCAAACTCATTAGTCAAAAGAGGCAAAAATTAGCAGTAGGATGGTCAAAAAAAAATTTGAGAGCCAAATTTCTTTTTGCAGAACCTGTCAAGAATTTTTAGACTCAAAACCGATTTGTGGCTATCTGGCCGAGCCACACTCAGGTCGCTAAAGAGCTGCATGAGGCTCATGGGCGGCTGTTTGCTGACCAATATTTATGAGTATTACCTGAGATGTTTATGCCAATCATATGTGTAACTTTTTAAGTATAAGTTTTATTATTTATCAGATGTCTCTCTTTCATCTATCAACATAATGTTGTGCTAATCTATGTCACATAGGACTCGCAGACTATTCCTCTATTCCTTTGTCATGAACAATCCTTCTGATATCACGGAATTGAGTCCAGCACCTTTGGCCTCTCTTTATCGTTTGTTTTAGGGTTTCTTTTTAATGTCCTCACTCCCTAGATCCTTCTATCACGGAATTGAGTCCAGCACCTTTGGCCTCTCTTATCGTTTGTTTAAGGGTTTCTTTTTAATGTCCTCACTCCCTAGATCCTTCTGATATCACGGAATTGAGTCCAGCACCTTTGGCCTCTCTCCTTTTTTTTTTAGGGTTTCTTTTTAACATCCTCCCTTCCTAGATCCTTTTGTTTCCCATATTAGTGCCTGCGGGTGATTCTCCGCTCTTTTACTTCACTGGTATTTATCTGTGAAAATGGCATATATCACTCAGTTGTCTTGAGTCCATCTGTTTCTTATTCCTCTGCTGGCTGGTCTGGTTTAATTCCGGAAGATTTGTGGCTAAGATGTTCTGTACTATTTGTTGACCAGCCTCATGCCAACTATTCTTAGTGGCTGCTTCGGGCATACTTGTTAGGGTAAAGGGTTGTTTTTCTGGATGTATCAGCCAAACCTGCAAAGACATAAGCAGCTAGTCCTTAATGACAAGGCGAAGATCCACCCACACAATCAGCCAGGAGGTAAATATCACTGGTATGTGAACGTGTCCGGATGTGTGAATGTGAAAATTGCTTGATGAGAACTGTATTGATAATTGCCCCCACTCGTGGACAGATTCAGATGAGCAGTCTGAACCATCTGTTGGAGAGGAAGAAATTGTGAAATCTTCAAAGTCGAGGGCAGAGGAATCATTGCCAACTCTGAGAGCTGGAATCATTTCAGAACAGCAAGAGCAGCCACCACAGCCAAAGCGTGTGCCAGATAAACATCGAGTAACATTTTCAGGTAGAAAAGAATTCTCCAAAACCCAAGTGTGGACTGCATTCATGATGCTTGTTTTTAGTTTGGGCTAACAAATACTGGTTTTATTTTTGTTTAGTTGACTTGTTCACTTTTAGCTGTTCATATTTGCTTGTATGAATGAACATATTCTTTTGCATATTATTAATTTTTTTTTTAAAAATATATCCCTGCATGTAACATATCATTTTTAACATATCACAGTGCAGTTGCATCCAACAGTGTAAGAAAAGGACTGGAATTACATCAGAACAACAGACATATGGAAATTATATAAGGATGTCAGAAAGATAAGGTTGTGCTTTAGGGGATTAGGTGACAGGCTAACGTACCACTTATCACCTACTTTAGTTCATGCCTTATAAGATTAGGCTGATCAAACAACTTTCTCACCATCTTGTACTTCTCACTTAAATAAACCAGCTGAGTGTTTTACTGGTCTATGCCCTGGGCAGTTTTGTTACAGGATTTCAGATTTCTTACCTCAGCCATGGACAGGGGTTGTTACTCTAGCCATGGGTGATTACTCTAGCCATGGGTGATTACTCTAGCCATGGGTGATTACTCTAGTCGTGGGTGATTACTCTAGTCGTGGGTGATTACTCTAGCCGTGGGTGATTACTCTAGCCGTGGGTGATTACTCTAGTCGTGGGTGATTACTCTAGTCATGGGTGATTACTCTAGTCATGGGTGATTACTCTAGTCATGGGTGATTACTCTAGCCGTGGGTGATTACTCTAGCCATGGGTGATTACTCTAGCCATGGGTGATTACTCTAGTCGTGGGTGATTACTCTAGCCGTGGGTGATTACTCTAGTCGTGGGTGATTACTCTAGTCGTGGGTGATTACTCTAGCCGTGGTGAACCTAGCCGTGGGTGAACTCTAGTGATGGGTGATTACTCTAGCATGTGATTACTCTAGCCGTGGTGATTACTCGTGGGTGATTACTCTAGCGTGGTCAGATTACTCTAGCCAACTCTAGCCGTGGGTGATTACTCCAGTGATTACTCTAGCCGTGGGTGATTACTCATGATTACTCTAGCCATGGGTGATTACTCTAGCCATGGGTGATTACTCTAGCCGTGGGTGATTACTCTAGCCGTGGGTGATTACTCTAGCCGTGGGTGATTACTCTAGCCGTGGGTGATTACTCTAGCCGTGGGTGATTACTCTAGCCGTGGGTGATTACTCTAGCCGTGGGTGATTACTCTAGCCACTAACTTAACTCTAACCCTGGTAACCATGGTGGAATGTTATGATAGCATGGAAAGTCCGTTTGACTTTGGTCAGTTACTCTAGCCATGGGTCAGTAACTCTAGCCATGACCAATATTTCTAGCCATGGTCAGTAAGTCAAGCCACAGACCACTTCTGATAATATAGAGTATATATAGACAACTGTTGTTCTCATGATAGACTGTAACGAACCATACAAATCTGGCTCCAGCTGTGGACTGTAAATACTAGATATAGACATCAAATACTGCCCATGGACTGTGAATTATGCCACAGCCTATATATCTGATTATGCAAACCCTTATTATGGGAATCAGCTTCTGATCTACACATAATCAACATTTTAAAATGATTACATTATTTCCCATTGTCTCCTTGAATTTTAAGTTCAGATTGCTTATTTTATTTTGTACAAAAATTGTTAACTTTTGGTTTGGGGTTATATTCACAATTCTTTTGTAATAAGATAAGTAATCACTTAAAAAGATGGATGCAGCATGTGTATTCTAAATATTTGCTTGGTTGCTTGTATTCTTCATCAAAAGCAAGACAAATCATAAAATTGTCCAATTGCTCTGTAATGAGTGTATATTTGGTCAGCTCTGAAAGAATGTTGTGGGAAAGTGAGCAGCATAGCTGAAGTGTGATGCACAGCCATTCAGTTCATCCTGAGCCCCAATTTGAGCCTATGTTTGAGTGATGTTGGTACAGAAGCTGTTATCTTTACTCTGTAAAATGTACTAGGGGTTGTGTCGCAGAGTCCTGCCTTCTCTTTCCAAGCTCTCTTGGACCATTACTAAATACAGCACCAGCTGTGACTAGAGAGCTCAACAGATGAAATGGAATAGATGATGCACACAGATACAGTGGACTGTTTTCTCCAGAAAGGTGACTTTGAAGTTCCAGTGTGCCTGCCTGAAAAGCGTGGAAATAAGTTAGATCTATCAAATGGATGTACATGCAAAGCCCAAGTTCTGGATCAAACCAAAGTCCACAAATGGGTGAAGAAGCAGGCTTTTCTACCTGTCAATGCTAAAAAGAAAAAGTACTTCAGTGTCAATATGGGGGGGGGGGGGGAAGGGTGGGGGGGGGGGGGGGGGGGGGGGGGGTGTTTAAGAATGTCTGGTGTAGGGGTTGTTGCCACAGCAAAGTATGGGGTTTTATGTATCGGTATTTACTCATGCTGATGTACTCAGAAATGTCACAACGAAAAAAGTCTAGTTTTGCACTTGTTTGTGGTTTTGTTTAATCAGCAATAAATGCATGTGGTGTGTAAACAGATCGATTACAAGGCTGCCATTTAGCAGATGCATACATTGTTATAGAAGTGCATACTGCAGCACATCTGTACACAGCTGTCAGAGGCATTGTTTCAGAGATGTGTACTATAGCACATCTGTACACAGCTGTCAGAGGCATTGTTGCAGAGATGTGTACTATAGCACATCTGTACACAGCTGTCAGAGGCATTGTTGCAGAGATGTGTACTATAGCACATCTGTACACAGCTGTCAGAGGCATTGTTGCAGAGATGTGTACTATAGCACATCTGTACACAGCTGTCAGAGGCATTGTTGCAGAGATGTGTACTATAGCACATCTGTACACAGCTCCCAGAGGCATTGTTGCAGAGATGTGTACTATAGCACATCTGTACACAGCTCTCAGAGGCATCGTTGCAGAGATGTATACTATAGCACATCTGTACACAGCTGTCAGAGGCATTGTTGCAGAGATGTGTACTATTGCACATCTGTACACAGCTCCCAGAGGCATTGTTGCAGAGATGTGTACTATAGCACATCTGTACACAGCTCTCAGAGGCATTGTTGCAGAGATGTGTACTATAGCACATCTGTACACATGCACCAGCAGCCTTTTTGTTTTTCTTCTTTTTTTCCTCCCACAAATATACTGATGCCTACTCAGAGACAATCTACACATACAACATCTGCAGACATACTCTCATAAAATCACAAAACGGTTGACGTATGTATCCATAACTGATGTTGACTGACATATTTATAACATGTGCAACCACATAAAGGCAAGCATAACATAAATATTTAACAATCAGTAGACCTCCTTTAACACATACATTTTACTTAACTTTCTCATGAATGTGTACAAAACCCAACAAAAGTGTAGTGAAAGCTTATTTTCGACGTTTGGTGCAAGAGAACCTGACATATGATACCATAACCAGCTTAAGAATGAAGATTGAGGGGGTCACTGTAGCTTTCTGCTGGAGGGGGTCACTGTAGTTTTCTGCTAGAGGGGGTCACTGTAGTTTTCTGCTGGAGGGAGTCACTGTGGCTTTCTGCTGGAGGGGGTCACTGTAGCTTTCTGCTGGAGGGGGTCACTGTAGCTCTCTGCTGGAGGGGGGGGGTGGGGGGGGGGTCATGCTTTAGCTCTCTGCTGGAGGGGGGGGGGTTTGACACACTGTCGCTTTCTGCTGGAGGGGGTCACTGTAGCTTTCTGCTGGAGGGGGTCACTGTAGCTTTCTGCTTGAGGGGAGTGACGCACTGTAGCTTTCCATGCTGGAGGGGGTCACTGACAGCTTTCTTTGCTGGAGGGGGTGTGCGGACTGTAGCTTTCGCTTCCATGCTGAGGGGGTCACAGCATCTTTCTGCTGGCTAGAGAACAGGATACATGTACAGATCATGATATTAACTGACTCAGAAAGCATGCTGAGGTAGGTGACGACAGGCATGCTTTGTGCGGAGTGACGCACTTCGCTTCCATGCTGAGGAAGGTGATGACAGGCATGCTTTGTGCAGAGTGACACACTTCGCTTCCCTGCTGAGGAAGGTGACGACAGGCATGCTTCGTGCAGAGTGACACACTTCGCTTCCATGCTGAGGAAGGTGACGACAGGCATGCTTTGTGCAATGCTTTGTGCAGAGTGACACACTTCGCTTCCATGATGAGGAAGGTGACGACAGGCATGCTTCGTGCAGAGTGACACACTTTGCTTCCATGCTGAGGAAGGTGACGATAGGCATGCTTCGTGCAGAGTGACACACTTCCCTTTGGAAGTCACGAGTAAGAAGCATTGTCTAGATCGTTTCTCTTGTATATGCCGGTATATTGGGAAATGAACAGGCGTACAGACTGGCTTGCTCTGCACAATTTGGTGGAATAATGATGTGTGATAAGACAGACATGATCAATGCCTTATGGGAGGATGTTTACAACTCTGAGGAGCAAATGGATCACCACAGTCTAGTGACAGTGCTGCAGTGAGGAATGACAAAGGGGTCTGGCCGATACACAACGCTCAGAGGAAAGACAAGACAGGCGTATAATCAGACTGCTGCTAGCACCATTGGTAATAGAACTCTGCACTGGCTGCTGAAGATGGGGATGAAGCATTTATGGGAAAGCCCCAAGTGTTGTGATATTAGTTCTTGAAATACCTCAACTCTATTTACACACTATACAATTTTTTGCTCATAAAGCATATGCACATGTTCTCTCTTCTCTCTCTCTCTCTCTCTCTCTCTCTCTCTCTCTCTCTCTCTCTCTCTCTCTCTCCTCTCTCTCTCTCGCCTCTCTCATCTCTCTCTCTCTCTTCTCTCTCTCTCTCTAAATTCTCTCGCTCTCTCTCTCTCTCTCTCTCTCTCTCTCCTCTCTCTCTCTCTCTCTCTCTCTCTCTCTCTCTCTCTCTCCCTCTCATCTCTCTCTCTCTCTCTCTCTCTCTCTCCTCTCTCTGGCG